CAATGATAATGTAGACATGTTACACCCGTTGTCACGAATATGTTTACAAGTTTTCCGACTGTTTTTGAATAGCGATACATTTTTTCACATACTTAAGAACCACCTGATTTCGTGAATTACATGTTCGTCTAAATTTTATTTGCAGTAGGCATTCTTTTGGTTGATGAGGACTTCAATAGGTCCTTTGCTCATGAAATATATTACTTAATTAATTTTTCATTGTTTGGTAAAATGGATTAAATTATCCAGCAAACCCAAATAGAAATAGTAAACATAGTATTTCAAAAAAATCAGTAACATGTTAATAATGTAGCCTACATTATTTCCTTGAATTGCATAACAGCAATTAATTGAGCTGATCCTTATATAAATAAATCAATATGTTCTTCATAGGCATAACATGGGTTCTTTAAGAGCCACTGGGGCTGAGCCCAAGGGATTTTAAAACGTAAGGTTGGTTTGCAAATGTACGTGACACGCTCTTTCTAATGAGACATGAATGGTCAAAATCGCCTAAGAAATGCGGAAGAGTTCAACGGAAAAATTTCGTGTTGGCATTACAGTATGGTTGAAAAGTCCTGGATTGGCTATATTTTTTTAACAATATAGATAAAGTAGTGAGACTTGGTATATCAATAATAGCCATAAATATCTACTGTCTTAAGCTATTATCACTTTTTTATCCCTTAAGGGGGGTGGACCACAAAGACTAAGACAAAATTCTTATATAATTTTAATACTGGGTGTGGGCTGTAGGCGGAAAAATACGAACAAACTAAACTATTTATTAACAAAACTTTTTTTGTGTTGAAATTTAAAGACAATGGTCTCAAACTCTACACCGAATAATGCTAATTCATAATGGTTACTATATCTATGATCGATAAAGTAGCCATGTTGCTTTGAAATGGCGACCATACAAATGGATGCATTTTAAGCCAAGTATGAATGGAGATGAGTGTGGGGTGAGTGGAGCGATGTTGTTGTCCTGTTTGTGACTAAGGCCGACATAATCCTTAGACACAGCTGTTAATTAATAGTGCATACACTCAATTAATAGCAGCAGAGGTCAAGTTTGGTATCAAATTAAAGGTTTTATTCATAAAAATACATTGCCGCAAACCCAAACTCAAACGATGATGATGATAAGTCGCTAAAACGTATAGTTTGAAATTTAACAGCTGAAAATAAGTGAAATAGAAAAGGTTTTGGTTAAATCCATCAAATTGTAATTGGACACTAGTAAATACTAGTGAACTTGTTGCTACCTATCCCCCCTTCGGTTTCATGTATTCCTCTCAATCAGTTCAAACCTAGGAGGATTAAACATTAATGTTAATTAATGTTAAATCCTCCTAGATTCAAACCTGAAACACCCAGATCGAAACTCGCCTGTCGTTATTTTACCATCGCCTTTTTTTAAATATATTTTTCAAAAAAGAAATATTATTTTGATTTACTTTGGATTTTAAAAATGTTAACGTTTTATTTTGTTAAAGATTTATGGTGATAAGTAAATATTGTGGTGTAGTAAAGTATATTATATTGTAGTTAAGTGTTAAATTTTGAAATTTTAGGGTGAATTGAGATGAATCTTTGTTTATAACATGCGTCTCTCCTACCTTAACATACATACCAAGTTTCATAAACATCGGTTGGAAAAGTGCAAAGATAAATATTTGTATGTAAAAAATACAAAATGGTGGATATCTGGTTAACGAAATGATTTTGGAAAAAAATGTTAGCCTTGACTTTCTGTTTATTTTGACCCAAGGAATTACTAGGTAAAGTATCTCCCCGCTTATTTTAACACCCTGTTTATGATGTATTCTTATAAGTGAAAAATGTAAGCTGGTAATAAAGAAAGATATTTTATATAAATAATATGAATGTACTGGTGATCTGTATATTCATCTTTTTCTTGTCCTTAGAACTATAAATTAAAAGTCCACTCAGCAGTCGCATCGTACGATGTAGTTCTTTCCATGCGTTGCGAAATGCTAAATTTGCCGTCCTCTTCAACCCAAGTTATCTACTGAACCACTGATTGTAAAAAATGCAAAGAAATATATTTTACGCATCACACTTTTGGCTACAACTTTGCCACAAACAAAACCTCTCTAACCCAAAAACAAACAAAAATCTCGCATGCTAACTTTTTCATGTTAGAAACCACGATTTAAAACTATTTCACCGTACAAATCAATTTTTATTAATTAGATCGGTAAATAGTTTAAAGTTCCAACAAAATAGTCATCGAGTAGGACTAACCAAGAAGCTCTGTGCCAAATTTCAAAATTTTAGCACAGCTTTAAGTACACCAAAACACGTCATGTAAGTCATGCGTCGAGAGGACTATCGTTGTTTTTAACAGATTATACTTTTGACCTTCCGGCACTGTTGACTCAGCGAAACTGAACTTATATTTTATCTTATTTCGTTATATTAAAACTGCTGTTGCATTAGGTCAAATTCCCAATAAGTCAATTGCTTTAACATAGACTACGTTTTTAGCCCGGACTGTACTATTTGACTTACTGGGATTTTTGATCTACAGACACTGCAAACATTGTAGTTTTTGACCTAGCGGCACAGGTATAAATTATTTGACCTTCCGGGACTGTTGACTTTCTGCAACGCGTCCCATCTGAAGGTCCAACGATCTTTTGATAAATTTTTGTTTGTACAATATATAAAGGGATAAACTTGTTAAAATACTTATGATTTTCAAGTTCTAAGCCACTTTGAACCTTTTATAGTTATTTATTGTTATGCAAATATAATTACGATACTAATTTGTGCATTGTCGATCGACTGGTAAGCCAATGCTTTCTTGTCCTTGCACCAATGCTACAGCAATGGCAGCCACCAGCTTGTCGTGACCAATGTCACATCATTCTAGAAGCCAGCCTACATTCATTTGAAACAGTCTTAATTAGTCTTTTTAGCATTTAACTTAAAACCTTTTTTTTGTGTAATTCACACATTTAAAAACCTAATTAAAGTGCGTTTAAGATGCAGGAAAGGTAGGTTACTTTTAAGATGTGAAGGTTTCCTGGTACTATGTATTCTGAAGCATTAGGTACTATCACGATTGCTAGAAAAATACCGGTATGGATCATAAACATAAACAAATGACGTTGTTGGCCCGAATCCTATACTAATAGCATTGAACATATGTTTTGGCAGTTCCATTTAAGCAGTGTTAAATAATGTTTATTTTCAGGCCAAAAACGTCATTTGTTTATGTTTATGATCCATACCGGTATTTTTCTAGTAATCGTTGGTACTATTAACTAACATAGCCAACATACCATGTATATCCTTTCTTTTAAATACGTATCAATGCTGATAATGTGGTTAGTCAGCGGCTCAGACGGTAGTGCAATGAATATAAAACATGTTGTAAGTTTGTTCCGGTGCTGCCACTTACTAATATGTATCAGTTAAGTTAGTACTTGTACTATACTAACTCAACTCTTTATTGAATGGCCCATTTCTTGATCGTAGAGACACTCTTAGGATTTCAGTACTTTAACACTTTGGATGTTGTCCTTGCGCCTTGCCTGCCAAAGATTGAGCGTGGGGTCACCAGTACCCTTGTTGTCTAAATGTAAAGTAGCCTGATAACACTGTCCTGAGAACATTCAGTGTGGTGTAGCATTGTGTTTTAAGGAACATAACTCCAAACTTAATGTTTGTTCGTTTATCCAAGTACTTTGTCCCTGCATTTGGCAATACTGAGGGTCTGTTGGCAAGTTTGTTCAGTGCTGCTATCGTTTTGTTTCTTTTAAAACTAAACACACAGTTGGCCTCCTTTACTGTGCCTCTCCCATTTGATGAAACTAAATTTAAACATTTTTGCACGTTCATCTATGCAGCACATTGGCTGTTCCTGCGGCTGGTAATCACGTTACCGCAGAAATGTGTTAATATTATATTTGTTACAGGCCAAAACCACAAAGAAGATTGTGTTGAGGATGGAGTGCACAGACTGCAAGTACAGGAAACAGATTCCCCTGAAACGCTGCAAGCATTTTGAACTGGGAGGAGACAAAAAGCGAAAGGTATATTTGTATAATATATTCGTTGTGCACTGGTTGGCAATTACTAGCTTATTTTTAGTCAGGGTTGTTTCAATTAAAATGTGATAAACAAGGGGATTTATTTTAATTTTTATGGTCTGTTTGTTGTCCAAAGCAAAATGGTCCTTCTAAAACGGTTGTCTTTAACTTTAAGTATTTTTTTCACAGTTTAAATCTTATCATATCTAGCTACAGATCCAATTTGGATGAAATTTAGTCTGTAGGTATTAATCCATGGCATCTTCAGGCATTTAATTTCTTGTTGAAATTTTATTTTGGATTTGAAAAAAAACCGAAAAATCAAATATTTAAAATAATTATAGATACTGTGAGACACTTTTTGGTTACAAAAAGCTCTTAAGAGTCCTTGGAACCTAGACGTTCTAACTCGTTAAACAATTAAAAAACTAGAGAAAATTTCTAATCCCACAGTATACTTGATATTTAAATAACACTCGGTGTTTGAAAAAATATTATGAGATTGTAAATAACTCTTAAGCGGCTGTTTGAAATTAACGAAATTAACATTGCTCTTATGGCGGACAAATCCAAGATGGCCGTTAGCTTCCATGGGCTCCCTTGGAGAACAATTAAAAACTACAAAGAACATTTCTAATCTCACAGTAGGCCTATACTAAATTAAATTATAATCATTTTGGTATTTGAAAAAATATTTTTGGACGATAAATAAATCTTCAGCAGCTCTTTAAAATTATCCAAGATGATCGCTAGCCCCCAAGGACTCTTTACAGCCATTCTTTTATAAAGTACACCTTATGTAAAAAAATTAAAATATTTATTTTGTTCATTTTAATTACTTGTCCTTATACATAAACATCCATACAATTCATAATTACAAATAAAACCATGAATTTGTCATATTTTTCAGTTTTATTATTGATTGCAGTTGGTACTGAAGCAGCTGATTATTGAATATTGAAATCAGCTGTTTTCTAGTCAGCTGTGAAATAATGAGTTGATATTTTTGGCCAGTTAACCTACAACACATCTGAAGTAAGAAGATCAAAGAAGCATTCAGCAAAATTTGCAGACTTTTAGGTAACTATTACAATACTTTATTCAAGATCTTGTTTATTCAGTTGCTGTGTCACGTCCGTTACAAAAATACTACGAAAGTTTAAATATCACTTAACCTATAACTAATTACTAATTTAAAACCCCAAGAAAGTAAGGTTAGGTTGTTTCCATATTCAAATATATGTTTTTTAGACATATTAAGTTAAATACCAATTTATTAAGTGTAACGGACGTGACAAGTCTTTAGATGTAACGGACGCGACATAATTTAACAGGTGTTTATTTCGTGTCTTTATAGTAGGCCTATCTAACCAAAATGTTTTTTTTTTGTTTCAGATCATGGCTCCTGCTAACAGAATGGCAAAATGTAGGGAAAAAATGAAGAAGAACCCTGAAATATGGAATAATTATTTAGAAAAAGATCGTGAAAGGAAGAGGAAGCAAAGAGAACAGGAAAGAAGGAAATTTAAAGCTATTAAACTGATGTTGGAGCAAAAGAGACGCAAGGACAGAGAAAGACAACAACTTTACAGAAAGAAAAAGGCACAACTAAAGAAAAATAATGATGAAAACGCCCAAGCACTACTTGGTGAAACTTACCTTGGAACCTATAAAAGTCCATGTACACTTGGCAAAGCCCTAAAAAAAGCCAAAGGCACCCTACCCTCAAGTCCGGCTAAGAAAAAGGCAGTTCTTAAAAGACTAATAGAAGAGAACTTTGGCTTGTCTGTTTGTAAGGGACTTTTTAAGAAGCAAAAAAAAGGCCCACGACAGTTAACCGAAAACTGTATTAAGAAAGTAATTGACTTTTACAACAACAATGAAATCAGTCGCCAGGCTCCAGGCAAAAGGGATGTGAAATCAATAAAAGATCCAGAAACGTCTAAAAGAACAACATATCAAGTACGACACATGGTTATGAGTATTAGAGAAGCCCATGAAGAGTTTAAGGTCAAGAACCCAGATGAACAGATTTCGCTGTCAAAGTTTTATGACTTACGACCAAAGCACATCTTGCCTGTTAGTCAGATGCCCCACTCTGTGTGCGTATGTATAAAACATGCAAATTTCATGTTCCTGATTGAGTCTGTTTCAAAATCTATCCCTGGTTTTCCAGACAACCACAAGGACCTTCTTAGCCTAGTTTCCTGTGACATTTCGAGTGAAAAATGTATGATGAATGAGTGTGATGATTGCACTTATGACTTAAAAACTCTCCTTCCTGAAAACACAAACTTAAAAAATAAGTACAAATGGAAAGAATGGAAAAATGTAAACAATAGGCCAAATCTGGTGGAAAATTTCACAAGTTTAGGAAGAATATTGGCTGAACTTAACTCTCAATTATGTGCTTTCAAGATTCATTTCTATGTGAAGAAAGTTCAGTCTTCATATTTTGATAAGTGCAAAGATTCTTTGGGGGTTTCAATAGACAAAGCTATAATGCAAATAGATTTTTCAGAGAATTATGCACTAATCCACCAAGATGAGATACAGAGTGCTCATTGGAGCCACTCACAAGTTGCGATTTTCACTTGCTGTATATGGCATGGTAAGGAAGTGTATAGTTTTGCCATTGTCAGTGACGACTTGAGCCATTCAAAAAATTCGGTATGGTTGTATATTAAAACTCTACTTGAAGAATATTTCTTCTGAAATTGACCATGTACATATTTTTTCAGACAATTGTGCAGGCCAATTTAAAAGCCGCTATTCTGTATCAAATGTGTGTTTCTCAGAAAAAGATTTCAATATCACGGTGGACTGGAATTTCTTTGCCTCTGGACATGGAAAGGGTGCTGTTGATGGGGTAGGGGGCTCAATTAAAAGAACTGTTTGGAATGTGGTTAAAGGAAGAAGAGCTGTGGTTAGCTCAGCTGAAGAATTTTACCATGTAGCAAAGGAAAACTGTACAAACATTAACGTGCTGTACGTTTCTGAAAAAGAAGTAAGTTCTCATTCCAAAAATCTTGAAGCTAGATGGGATAACATTGAAAAAATTGTTGGAATCCAATCGTTTCATCACTTCCGGGCCTATGATGAATGTCATATTCTAGTTGCCAAAACATCTGAGTCACTTATGACTAAGGTTTGCATCATCCTAGAACCAGAAGAAGAAGACCTTACAGAGCCTGCGCCTTCAAAGCGTTTGTGGTACTCTGATGTGTACACGGACTCTGAAGAAGAAAATATGTGTGATGGACGCTACCCAGATGAAGATGAGTATTTGAATCTACTGACATCTACTGATATTTCTCCATGTGATATTGTCCCAGGAACACACGTACTGGTAAAAGTCTTCAGTGAAAAGGGAAAAGAGTTTAGGTATGTAGCGGTCTGTCAGAGTTGTGTTAAAGAAAATAAGGATGTTGAGGTTTCATTCTTAAAGTCATACAACAAAAGTCATAAAGTGTTTAAAATTAATGAAGGTGATGAAAGACTGGTCTCCGTTTCAGACATCCTCGAACTACTAAATGATCCTGTGCTCAAACCAGTAGGTGATCGAGTCCTGTATGAATTTGAAGATGAAATAAACATCTTAGAATAACTGGAAGTAAAGCCTATAACATAGCACAAAAGAGAACAGTTCAATTCCTGTGTTATAATTTAAAAACCCCCTAACAAAAGTGTGTTTTTCTTAGAAGCGGAAATGTTTATGGAAGTTTACCATCTGCCACTGTATTATGATTGTGTTCCAGCAATAGGCTAGTATTTAATTATTTCTTATTAATTTATCCTATATAACAAGTAACCTCTTAATGTACTAACATAATATTATAATTACAGTGCATAAATAAAGTGTATTTCCTCAAACTACGATATTTCTTCTACCTATCACCATACTTGTCACGTCCGTTACAAAACCATGTCACGTCCGTTACAGCAAATTAAAATTTTTTTCTCTTAACTGAAATCAAATAATAAAAGCTAGTTGTTATGGCTATATAGATAATATAATAAGTAATTAAATTTGATTTTTCCAATATCCTAAATGTAAATACTTAACAGAATTTTTAACAAGACGTGCCACATCTCAGAAGGCAGGTGACTTTATTGTCACGTCCGTTACAGCCAGTTAAAGTTGCATAAGATTTACATTACTTAATCCTAATACATACAATATTCTATGAAATTAAAAACCCTAAATTACTATTGACTTAGCATAGAAATTATTCACTGTAATTAATTTTTCCTACTTTTACTCCACTTTAAAATCATCTACTTGTCACGTCCGTTACAAAAGAATGGCTGTTTAGGTATATTGTATATAGGGTTTTGTATATTTTTATGCAAAATCAGAATTCTTGCAGTCTAATTTATAAATCTATGCCTAAATTTCCTAATCTGCTTAGCACTAATCAGCAAAATTTAGAATTTTATATTTTAAAATCAAAATATTATCCTAAGTAATTAATTTTATATCAAAGGATTCAACTTGATGAGCAACTACATGTTAGACTTATGAGAAACAATGATTTCACACTTTGGTCCGTGTTTCTGATTGAATCCTTAAATTAATACTGTAGGCCTATTTAATGGTCTTGTAGAATGATGTAAAATTATACCAATCTCAGAGAAGCATTAATTAAACTAAACTTTATGTTTTAATAAGATAAATTAATAAGATAAATTTATAAAAATAGTTTAGCCTATTTATCTATGTGTAAAATTAAATTACTGTATCTAGTAATTTCTTCTTGGGTAAGCTGAAAGATGTTAGTTAAATGTTCTGGTGGATTCAATATGATGAGCAACCACATGTTAGACTTATGAGAAACAATGATTTCAAACATTATTTGGTCCGTGTTTCTGATTGAATCCTTATTTAAATGTTTGAAGGTTTTTAATAGGCCTACGGAATTGTAATTAGATTATTGAGCCCTACTGTAATATAATGTGTCCCTTAAATTTGTATTAATTTCAACTCTTGTATCAGTGTGACTAATATCATAGACTAAGCGACACAAGTAGACTCCTCATACCATTGTAAATTTTGAAGGTTGTTTTCCGTGTCTAGTTCATGTACGTCCACACTGATCGCTGGGGTAGACAACATTTTGTTTCTATTATTTTAGGGTTGTTTTCATGATTTGTGCTGTGCTTTACTACTTGGTTATATAACTAGGAGACCAGTTATTGTTATGATCATATTGTTTTATTTGGTTAAATGAGGTTTTAATTACTGAAATAACAAGAAACAAATTGTAAACAAAACACGACCTCTACAGTTGGACGTAAAGAACTAACAATACATTGACTTCAGCTGTTCCATAAGGTCGACAAATCTACTTATAGAGTATGTTTTATCTATGCTAATATTTTAACTATCTCAATTTAAAGTTACGAGTACTACGGTCTTAAGTAATTTCTTCTTGATTTACCGAGAAACCTTGCTAAATTATACTGGGGGATTCAATATGATGAACTACATGTTAGACTTATGAGAAACAATGATTTCAAACACTTTTGGTCCGTGTTTCTGATTGAATCCCGAATTATATGAATAGTACTCCTGTGGTCAACTGTGTTTCAATGAAAATCAGAACTAATTTTGAAAGCTCCTATTGTATTTGCGACTGTAAATTATTTAATTCAAAGACACTGGCAAATCCATGAATCTGTAATAAGGCACTAGAGAACTTCTGAAGCACGTCAGTTATAATTCATAATCCTAAATATTTACAAAAAAACTGTCTGGAAGTAACTCTCTGCTGAAACTAATCTATATTCCTCAAAATTAAAAATAGTTGGAAGGATATAGTATTTTAAGGATTCAACATAATGATACAAAGCATTTTAGACTTAATGATTTCAACTTGATTGGTCCGTGTTTCTGATTGAATCAAATATATATTTTAGCAATTTCCCTCATTTGTTTAGCCAACATTTAGTTTTTCAGTTGCGAAATTCAATATCTATTTCACACAAGACCACTGGTATCCGCCACCGGTTACCGGCTGGGCAACTGCAGTGGATGGTACAGGCAACTAACAAGCCACTCCACTACAGCCACTGTACAATGGTAGTTGAGAAAATGCTGTCGAACAATGGACATATCCTTCTTCTCACGTTGATAATAAAGAAAATAAGGCGAAGACACAGGCGTACTATCCCAAATTGCCGGGTACTTTTCAATCTTGCAAATTAGATCTTCAGCACCTATTCACTTTGTCTTCTATTATTTTGTTTAGTCTGTTCTTCTTCCTTTGTCTTCTTTTTTAGCAACGTCCTCTTTATTTTTCTTCTGATCAATCATTTTCACAAACAAACAATTCAACACGAAAACACTCAACAACTACCTCAGTGCGTTTGTCTCTGCATGTGAACTGAACCAAAATAGTAGCTGCGCGCGCATCCCTGGTGGCGGCCACTGGTTGCTTCGTGTGAAAGCTCCCATTTAATTCAATGCCCCGCAAGAAGTTGCCGACTAGGAGTTGGGCGAGGAGATACTGCTTGGCCACTGTGTCCTCGCGGGCAACTGCAGTGGCTGCGTGTGAAGGCTCCCATTTAAAATAGTGTTAAAGCTGTGGCAGGCAACCAGTGAGCTCAGTGGCGGTCCCATGACTCGGGGGGGGGGGAATGACCACCGGGGGGTCTGGAATATCCCCCAGAGAAAGTGGGGCCCATGGAATAAAAGTTTTTTAAGAAAAAATTGGAATTTAAAGCCTACAAACTTGATTTTATACGTGTTTGTGCTCTAAAATATGCCCAAGCTAATAGTATTTATATTAGCTAATATATAATATAAAATATTTAGGGGGGGGTTTTCTTTTCTTTTCCAGTATTTAATTTTGCCATTGCGACTGTAGTCATGCACTATACTTACTAATGTGTGTTTTTTTTCTGTTTCAGGGCCAGATGATCCAGTTTTAACTTTTGATATTGTTGGTTCATTAAATGTCCTTTTTATTTAATATTTCTAATTTATTTAATCCCAAATAGTTTTTATAAAATAGACACTAAGTTATTTCATATGTGTATGACTAGCTTTCCATTCTGAATCTTTGATGGCTTTTCATGCAATAATAGTTTTAATTATTGGTACTGGTAACAGTTTATAAATCCATTTGAAAGTGAAGTTGAATATTGATTTAGAAGTAAAAGGAATTAGTCATGATAGAGCCAATTGTTGGTTTGGTAGCTTTTCTAGTGATTATTGTCTTTAAAAAGCACTTGCTTTGAAATTGAAATGGTTTAACCCTTAGAGTGCCGGGCGAGAAATAAAAGTAACGCTCAAAAAATGCCGATGATTTTTCCCGAAGGTCGCGCTAAAAATGCCGAGCGCGATCTGGCGATTTTTAGGTTAAAATTTCGTAAAAATCGAATTTTCGATATTTCGACAAACGAAAATCGATGTATCGCATCTAGTAACATTCGACTCAATGTTAATATATGGGTTAAAAGAATCCGAGTATCCATTCGGTTGTTATGACAGCTGTTCGATCATTACGAAACGTCCGGTCAGCCGGACGTTGGCACTTTTGGCTCGTTCTAAAAACGTCCGGTCGGCCGGACGTCGGCACTTTTGGTTCGTTTTAAAAACGTCCGGTTCCCCGGACGTTGGCACTCAAAGGGTTAATCATCACAATGAATATTTTCATTAATTTTTTAACTAGGCTATTTGATGGGATAGTACACAGGTGTAATTGGAATTG